AATTTTTAAGGAATACAACAATAAATATTTTAATCATGCAAATTAAAAAAATAATAATAAAAAAATAAACGGGCTGACGGGCTGGCCCGTTTAGCCTGTCAGCCCGTCCTACACGGATTGGGTTGGGAAAATCCCAACCCGTGAGAAAACAGGTCGGCCCGTCCCGTCCCGTTTCCAGTTGAACCCGAGACGGGCCAGCCCATATGGGTCGGGCTGGCCCGTTTTGACAGCTCTAACGTTATCGGTGTAGTGACTATAGGCTCTGTTTGGCATACACAACTTATAAGCTAGCAAAAGTTGAAAGCTTAAAAGCTAGTGGCTACTAGCTTATTTTAAAATGCTACTTAAAGTTACATTTAAAAATAAATAATTATTTTAAGCTCTTCATTTTCAACCAATTAGATCGAGCTTATCATTATTTATTTATAGTTTATAATAAACTATAAGTTCTATCGAACATAGTCTAAGTTTTTTCGTCCTCAATCAAAAAAAAAAATGTCATCATATATAAGTTGATCATTACTAAAATTGAAATTATTTACTCTTTCATATTATTTAAATGGTTGATAGATTTGTGAGTATTATTATTCCTTATTTGGGTTGTGTGGTGGCTAGTCAAGTTTATGTGAAGGTAAAAGTAATGTATACACTCGATGAATTGAATTCATATAGTGATTACAAGTTTGTGCACAAAACTTATTAAATAGGCTTCAACTATAGAAATATATGCCCTTCAACTAATTATAGCAAATGACCAATATATAGGCTTCGCAAGCATGCATATTTAGGGAAAAGTTTTTAAAAGAAATCATGATTTTAATAAAATTTATAAGCTTGAAACAACTAAAATAAACCTTGTCCTTTCAACTGACTTCTACAAATTTATTTAGAGTTAATACCATCTGAGCTCTTTCGAGTATAGTGATTTTGCCACGTTCAGTTCTAAATTTTCAAGTTGACCATTCGTGGTCCTTCGACTTTCAAATTTAACCATTCGTGGTCCAAATTAATCACTCATAACCCTTCAAGTTTCAAAATTTAACCATCTGTAGTCCTCTGGAAAGGACCATGGTTGGTTAACATTTAATAGTTGAAGGACCATGAGTGGTTAACTTGGACCACGGATAGTTATATTTGAGGACTACAGGTGGTTAAATTTTGATAGTTGAAGGACCATGAGTGGTTAACTTGGACCACGGATAGTTATATTTGAAAGTCAAAGGATCACAGATGGTTAATTTGAAAATTTAGGACTAAACGTGGCATAATCACTATACTTGGAGGACCATATGGGATTCAACTTATTTTGAGGACTTTTGAAGTGTTACAATAATATTATTTTGTCAAAACAATCCAAACATGGTAACGCATGCTTTCAATGTTTATATCCAATTTAAATTAAAAATATAATAAGTCTCCATCAGAGTTATATCCTTAATTTATTTCCATGTTTTTAGTGCTAATCATTTTGTACATTGTGCTTTTATAGTTGTACTATATAATTCTTTGGAAAAAAATACCCATACCGTTATAACTTCCGTTATCTTTTCTATTATTATTACCATGCACATGCATCCACCATATATTTTATTATATTCTTTGATGATAATAATATTTGTAGACATTATATATTGGATTAATATAATAGCGCATCACACATAGAAAAGATTAGTTAAATACTCCGTATATAAATAGTAAAAGTATATAAAAACCAACAGGGCTATGGTTTAAATGGAAACAAATAAAAATGTGTCGCAAAAACTTGTGTGAGACCGTCTCACCGTAAGTCGGATCGGGTCAATATGAAATGTAGTACTTATACGCACAAATGTCATGCTTATATGCTCAAATGTAATCCTATTTAAGAATAAAAACTTTATGTAATACTTTTATGGGAAAATACTTTTACATATTTATTTAAAAGTATTATATTTTTTCTCAAAAGTAGTAAGTAAGGGGCACTTGCCAACATTACTTATTATGAAAAATGTAATACTTTTGATGGAAAATATAATACTTTTACATCAAATTGCAAAAGTATTACATTTTCTCAAAAGTATTACATTTGTCCTTAGTATTAAATTTGAGTATATAAGTATGACATTTGCATATTGATTCGACTCGACCTGACACCGTCACGAATAAGGATCCGTGAGATTGTTTCACAAATCCATATCCATGAGACGAATCGAGTCGGGTCGAATCAATATGCAAATGTAATATTTATACTAGCAAACATAATACTAAATCAGGAATAAAATATTTATTACTTATAAGGAAAAATATAATACTTTTAATGACAAATGTAACAATTTTATATTTTGATGTAAAAGTATTACTTTTTCATAAAAAAAGTATTATATAAATATACTCAAGTGTATATTTGTTCTGTGATATAATATCATTTTATTATGAACAATGTTTGGCGTGTTTGAACTAAATTTTGTGCAAATATGGCAAGGTGGCTATATTTCAGATCAAAAGAAGTTGTGAACCTAGTCGATAATCTTTTATTATTATTATTATTTTTTTAAAGACGGGAGAATCCGGGGGAGACATAATAACTATCTATTCTCCCTAAATCTACGAACACAAGTAACACAGGCCAAGTCACTAAGGTAGGCCTCCTCACTGTTGATGGGCAAGAACTGAAAATCACTAAGAAATTTTGAACCTGGTTGAGAATCATCTTTAAAACTTAATTTGAATCATTTTTTATTTATTAATTACTGATAAATTGATTGATTTAATTGATAAAGAATAAATTAGATTATTATGACAACAACTTTATAATCTAGTATGATAAATTCAAAATTTTAAATAAGAAAAAAAAATCAAATTAGTCACCAAACTTCACGTAAAAATGTAATTTGGTATCAAACTAAAAAAGTACAATTACATCATTCAACTATCTAAAATTATACAATTATACCAAATTTAACGTGTTTCTCGATTAGGTCATCGCTGACGTGAAGTCATCCAATTTTTTAAAATAAAATAAAATTTAAAAAAAAGAAGGAAAATTCCCTCCCCGTCTTGGTCTCCAACAATATTACGAATATTGACAATATGGAGGTTGATATGGACAATCTCTGTGTTTGTATTAATTATTTTGTGTTTGTGTTAATTATTGAGGATGTTAATTAAACTGCTTTTACACTTACTAATGTATTCTTCAAATTTGTTAAGCGATTTGCGGATTGACACCATCAGTACTTTAAGTAAAGAGGCCGTTTCTTTTCTATAATGATATTCTTTTATTTATTTTAAAAAAGTTTTGAAATATTTAAAACATAAAAAAAAACTTGTACTACGCTGTAGTGGGACCCATGGCTTCTCTAGTATGATAAATTCAAAATTTTAAATAAGAAAAAAAAATCAAACTAGTCACCAAATTTCACGTAAAAGTGTAATTTGGTCATCAAACTAAAAAACTACAATTATATCCCTCAACTATCTAAAATTATGCAATTAGACCAAATTTGACATGTTTCTCGATTAGGTCATCACTGACGTAAAGTTATCCAATTTTTTAAAATAAAACAAAATTTTAAAAAAGAAGGAAAATCCCCTCCCTGTCTTGGTCTCCAACAATATTAGGAATATTGACAATATGGAGGTTGATATGGACAATCGCTGTGTTTTTATTAATTATTTTGTGTTTGTGTTAATTATTGAAGATGTTAATTAAACTGCTTTTACACTTACTAATGTATTCTTCAAATTTGTTAAGCGATTTGCGGATTGACACCATCAATACTTTAAGTAAAGAGGCCGTTTCTTGTAACGTATAGCCGTTTCTTTTCTTTAATGATATTCTTTTATTTTTAAAAAAAAGTTTTGAAATATTTAAAAAAATAAAAAAACTTTTACTACGCTGTAGTGGGACCCACGACTTCTCTTGTATGATAAATTCAAAATTTTAAATAAGAAAAAAAATCAAACTAGTCACCAAATTTCACGTAAAAGTGTAATTTAGTCATCAAACTAAAAAAAATACAATTACATCCCTTAATTATCTAAAATTATACAATTAGACCAAATTTGACATGTTTCTCGATTAGGTCATTGCTGACGTTAAGTCATCCAATTTTTTAAAATAAAATAAAATTTAAAAAAAGAAGGAAAATCCCCTCCCCGTCTCCAACAATATCAAGAATATTGACAATATGGAGGTTGATATGGACAATCTCTGTGTTTGTATTAATTACACTTACTAATGTATTCTTCAAATTTGTTAAGCGATTTACATATCGACACCATCAATACCTTAAGTAAAGTGGCCGTTTCTTGTAACGTATAGCCGTTTCTTTTCTTTAATGATATTCTTTTATTTAAAAAAAAGTTTTGAAATATTTAAAAAATAAATAAACTTGTACTACGCTGTAGTGGGACTCACGACTTCTCTAGTATGATAAATTCAAATTTTTAAATAAGAAAAAAAAAATTCAAACTAGTCACCAAATTTCACGTAAAAGTGTAATTTGGTCATCAAACTAAAAAAAAATACAATTACATCTCTCAATTATCTAAAATTATACAATTAGACTAAATTTGACATGTTTCTCGATTAGGTCATTGCTGACGTGAAGTCATCCAATTTTTTAAAATAAAATAAAATTAAAAAAAAGAAAGAAAATCCCCTCCCCGTCTCCAACAATATCACGAATACTGACAATATGGAGGTTGATATGGACAATCTATGTGTTTGTATTAATTACACTTACTAATGTATTCTTCAAATCTGTTAAGCGATTCGCGGATTGACACCATCAATACCTTAACTAAAGTGGCCGTTTCTTATAACGTATAGCCGTTTCTTTTCTTTACTGATATTCTTTTATTTTAAAAAAAAAAAGTTTTGAAATATTTAAAAAATAAAAAAACTTGTACTAGGCTGTAGTGGGACCCACGGCTTCTCTCATCACGCTTATCCCCTCTCCCTCTCTCTCTCTACGCACAACGAGTCAATGACATTCTTTTATATATATAGGCAGATACAGTTGTATTTGTAACACCGTATTTCTCTTTTTCTTTCCTTTTCCCTTTGGAGATTGAAATACTCAGAATACGAGAGGAGAAAACCAGTTAGCAAAATTGAGAGAGATAAAGAAGGGGGTCCTCCATAGATTATGCCTCACTCGGAGGCCATAGCCTATTCCTATTCCGATTTGCAGATAGAAATCCCTGAGTTTGTTAAACCCCAGAACGAAGCTCCACTCCCATATAATAGTTTATACTATGCATAGATAAAAAAGAATATACATCTGCACTGTTCTTGCGCACCGCCCAATTCCAATCAACTGTTCGTCTTCTCTTCTCCTAATTCATTTCGTAAGTTTTTTTTTTTTTTTTTTTTTTTTTTTTTTTGGGGTGGGGGGGTGGGGGTTGGTGTTCTTTACTATTCTAAATTTGATTTTTTTAATTTCAATTTGTTATCATCTTTTCGTGATTCTACTCGCTTTGTGTGTTATGAAACGGTGATGGGTTTCTTTATCGAGATCTATGTTTAACTAGTCCTATTTGGGAGTGGTGCAAGATTGAAGCTTTTTTTTGGTTCTAGATTTATTGAAGAAATTGAGGCGTTGGGTATTGTCTGATCTGAAATTTGGGAGATCTGGGTTGGCTTAGAATCCCTTTTAATGAATTCTTTCCATACCCATCTGATTAAAATTATTCTTTTTCTTTTGTGGTTTTAGGTGCGTCTGAATCTGGGCAGGTTTCATTCTTTGATTTGGAGTTTTTTTTTGACTTGTTAATTTGTGATATCCATTGAATGATTGATGTTCTTTATTTGTTGCCGAGTGATCTGGGTAGTTATTTTTATCTATTGGATCAATGATTCTGTGAGGCTGGGGCTTTTACCCCTTTGTTTTTGTTTCCATTTCTTTTCCCCACAGTTCTATGCATTTTGTTGCCAGAATTGCTTCTTTGTTGAATACATATCTATATATATACATTGCTGTCAATAGGGTATCAAATATTTGATGAAAAGTAGGTGTTTAATTTTTGTTTTCTATATATAGAGGCACACTAGATTTGTGATGGGTAAAGTTTTTGTGCTTTGGCTTATCTATTTGCAGATTGTTTGACTGGTAAGCAGAGAGGCTGTAGAGTGAGTGTTTAGTAAGGCGAAAAGCTGCGGCTTCCTTGTGGTTGATCCTGACGACATGCTGGAAGACCGATCGTGTTTGGTGTCAAGGGACTATCACAGAGAGCGCAGCTGGGCTTGCATGAGTTTCCGGCTTGATGGGACTGGCAAAAGGCCAATGGAAGATGATGAAGAGGATGAACTCGTTCTTAGGAAATGCCCGAAACAGTCTGACGATAGTGGCAGAGTTGATACCGCTCTAACCCTCGGGGGCAATTCTTCGGTATCTGATGAGGCTGATGATGGAAAGCAAATGACTTTGGGACAAGGCGGTGTTTTGATGAATGCCCGAGGTGGTGATATGGTGGCTGATCAAGCGGGTGATGATCAGCATTGCGATGGGGTGAATTCCGACACTAGCTGTCTAATTCCCGGGATTGGTCGAGACAACTCCATTAGCTGTCTCATCCGTTGCTCGAGGTCCGCTTATGGCATTGCGGCTTCTGTGAACAGGAGCTTCCGTTCGTTAATTAGGAACGGCGAGCTCTATAGATTAAGACGCATGAATGGTATAGTCGAGCACTGGGTGTATTTTTCCTGCAACATGTTGGAATGGGAAGCATTTGACCCGAGTCTCCGCCGTTGGATGCGTCTCCCGACGATGAATTCGAACGAATGTTTCGTGTTTTCGGACAAGGAATCTTTGGCCGTGGGCACCGAGCTCCTCGTGTTTGGGAAGGAGTACATGGCACAAGTCATCTATCGGTACAGTCTTTTGACCAATTCATGGTCGACCGGAATGCAGATGAACGAGCCTCGGTGTTTGTTCGGTTCCGCCTGCCTAGGGGAGATTGCCATTTTGGCTGGCGGGTGTGACTTGAAAGGTAAGATCCTTAGCTCAGCTGAGCTATATAATTCGGAGACGGGGACCTGGAGGCTGTTACCAAGCATGAACAAGGCCCGGAAAATGTGTTCTGCGGTATTCATGGACGGGAAGTTTTACGTGATTGGAGGTATTGGGGGACCCGAATCGAAGCTTTTGACATCTGGAGAGGAATTCGATCTCGAGACGGAAACTTGGACTGAAATACCCAACATGTGTCCCCCCCGCACGGGTGAAACTCGGGGAAACGCCTTGCCTACTACCTCCGAAGCACCTCCGTTGATTGCGGTTGTAAACGACCAATTGTACGCTGCCGATTATGCTGAAATGGTAGTGAGGAAGTACGACAAGGATAACCGAGTTTGGTTCACGATCGGGAGATTGCCGGAACGTGCAAATTCCATGAACGGTTGGGGCTTGGCTTTTAGGGCATGTGGCGATAAGCTTATCGTGATCGGGGGACCTAGGGCTACAGGTCCCGGGTTTATCGAAGTGAACTCGTGGGTCCCGGGCGAAGGACCGCCCGAGTGGCATTTACTCGGCCGGAAGCAATCGGGTAGCTTCGTCTATAATTGCGCCGTGATGGGTTGCTAAAAAACGTGGTTCTTTGGGTGCTCTTGCTAATGGGTAATCTATCCCGACCTTTATTTTCTTTTTTATTCAGTGCATTATTTTTTTTTCCTTTTCTCTGTGGGAGGATATAGGGAGGAATTATCAACCGACTCAAGATTTGACCGCATATTTCTTCTAAAGGAGTTGTTGAGTATCAAATTTTTTCTGCTTCGACATTTTCATTCATATTGAATGATCTTCCCCCATTTGGTTAACATGAAATCTTCAAAGGAGGCCAGCAAAAAATAGCAAAGGGATAGGAAAATAACTTCGAGGGTGGGAGCAATACAATACTAGAAATCTCCGATTAGTTTTCGTTGAAGCTTCTCCAAGAAATTGTAGAGCTTAGTTCTCCATTAATGTTCGCTCTTTTCTCTTCCCCCACCTCTCTTTATTTTTGTCATAGTCGAGAAAACCCAAAAAAAAAAAAAAAAAACAAAAAATAATTAAGGTTCTGCAATCTTCTTCATCAGGAGCATGTCAATGTACTGAACACCTTTGATATTGCAATGAATGAGCTCATAGTGAAAAGCTTTCTCTTGAAATTCATTCATGGGAAGCTTGTTGCACCTTTTTTCTGAAATCTCGTGTTTGTTTTTCGGTATCTTATATCTTTCATGCTGATATTATGGATGTGTTTTGCTGTAAATTCGATGGTGCGTTTTGCTTGTGTGTATTAGTGGCATTCTGGCATTATCTATATTCGTGAATCATAAATGAGCATATAGTTTGAAAACGAAAAGTATCATTTAGTTTGTGATGCAGTGAATGCTACCCTGTATCTTTCCTTTTCCAGGTATTCCATTCTGTTATGCTTTATTAGCCAAGTACATGAATCAGAAATCAATTCTGCAGGGCAACTTATGATGGCTTAGGTTTTTGTTAAATGGTATTGATTCTATATTTGATGAATGCATAAATATGATTGTATCACTCACTGTTGTATCGGTCTGGGGGCGCCCCTAGGCCAAGGGGGATTTTACCCTTAGGTGGACATTAGTCGGCTGGCTGATTAATCGGCCAACTAGGCGAATGTGGGGCCCGAATCGGCCAACTCGACGCTTGAGTCGGCCAGACTTAGTGCCCAACTAGGCGGCCAAGTTGCCCCTAGGCCCATGGGTAGCCTTAGGTGAACATTAGTCGGCCGGTTGATTAATCGGCCAACTAGGCGAACGTGGGGCCTGAGTCGGCCAACTCGACACTTGAGTCGGCCAAACTTAGTGCCCAACTAGGCGGCCAAGTTGCCCCTAGGCCCAGGGGTAGCCTTAGGTGGACATTAGTCGGCCGGTTGATTAATCGGCCAACTAGGCGAACGTGGGGCTTGAGTCGGCCAACTCGACGCTTGAGTCGGCTAGACTTAGTGCCCAACTAGGCGGCCAAGTTGCCCCTAGGCCCAGGGGTAGCCTTAGGTGGACATTAGTCGGCTAGTTGATTAATCGGCCAACAAGGCGAACGTGGGGCTTGAGTCGGCCAACTCGACGCTTGAGTCGGCTAGACTTAGTGCCCAACTAGGCGGCCAAGTTGCCCCTAGGCCCAGGGGTAGCCTTAGGTGGACATTAGTCGGCTAGTTGATTAATCGGCCAACAAGGCGAACGTGGGGCTTGAGTCGGCCAACTCGACGCTTGAGTCGGCTAGACTTAGTGCCCAACTAGGCGGCCAAGTTGCCCCTAGGCCCAGGGGTAGCCTTAGGTGGACATTAGTCGGCTAGTTGATTAATCGGCCAACTAGGCGAACGTGGGGCCTGAGTCGGCCAACTCGACGAGTCGGCCAGACTTAGTGCCCAACTAGGCGGCCAAGTTGCCCCTAGGCCCAGGGGTAGGCTTAGGTGAACATTAGTCGGCCGGTTGATTAATCGGCCAACTAGGCGAACGTGGGGCCCGAGTCGGCCAGACTTAGTGCCCAACTAGGTGCCCGAGTCGGTCGAGTTTTTTTTTTTTTTTTTTTTTTTTTTTGGTGCAATGTGTATAGTGCTGTGTTTTTCTTATTATTTTGGGCATATAGTAACTTATCTTATCGTACCTTACAATACCTTCTATTCACACATTGTCCCAAGTTTCTATTCCCTTGTGGGGCTGTTTGGTAAAATGGTGAATTTGTCAATTTTTGACAGATTTCTTCCACTTTACCCAGACTGTTAAGCTCTGCAGATTGGAGTCAAAATGCTTAAAATAGTAAGCTTTTTGGGTTAGTTGATCGTATTTATGTAAGTTAATAAAAGACTATTGTACTATGGAAAATTTTGCAATGGTTCGAGATCTATGTTTTTTTTTTTTAAAGTTGTACCTTTTGCTTTGCAAGTTGTACTCTTCTCTCTATGTATCGCTGATAGAGTATAAGGTGATAGGGATGTCAACAGGGTGGGGTGGGGTTGTGGGACATAACCCCCATCCTCGCTGGGGAAGGGAAAAATCCCTCCATCCCCCATCCCTACGGGGATTATTCGGGGACGGGGAATCTCCACCCTGTTAATAAGTTAAAAAATAATTAAAAATTAAATGTTAAAACACATTTAAATAAATAACACATATATATATTCATCCTTAACTTAAAGTAGTATTCAATATTGAATATTGTACAATTAAACATGTTATTTAAATATGCATTTCATAAGCATGATGTATAATGACAAGAATGCTTCTAAAATTATATATATTGTATATATATAAAGTAATTCATATGTGTGTTGTGTGGCTATATATATATATATATATATATATATATATATATATATATATATATATATATATATATATATATATATATATATATATATATATATATATATATATATATATCGGGAGAGTACTCCCTGGGGAATTCAAAATTGCCCCCATCTCCATTCCCAATCTCCTATTTTTATCCCCATCCCCGTCTCCGTAGGGGCAGGAAATCGTGTCCCCCGTCGGATGCGGGTAAAATTGACATCCTTAAAAGGTATAACTTTACAGAACATATTTATGGTAACTTTAAGGCATTGTATAGTCAGTAATTATATTATCACTAATTTATGTTTATAGAATATAATAATTAAAAAAATCTTATTAGTTTATATATATATATATATATATATATATATATATATATATATATATGTGTGTGTGTGTGTGTGTGTGTGTGTGTGTGTGTGTGTGTGTGTGTGTGTGTGTGTGTGCGTGCGCGCGCGCGCGCGCGCACCAGGGTGAAATGTACATATGTACCACAGCCTGGTGTATTTCTGAACATGTGGTGCATTCTTGCATACTTAATGGTGCATGACTGCACGTCTACAAGGGAATCAGACTATATACATCTAGTGGATAAAGTAATTTTTCGAACTATATAAATGTAATTTGGTAACTTAAAGTGCTATTCCTCATGTTTTATTTTATCTGTCTTATTTATTATTCATGGGTCAAATTATTATTTTTTTGTGTATTATTATTATTATTATTATTATTATTATTATTATTATTATTATTATTATTATTATTATTTTGTGTGTGTGTTTAATAATATTTTTAACTTAATTTTTAAATATATAAATTTTACATACTAATTTAAATTTAATATTATAAAGAAAATTAAATTGTAAATAACTTTAGTGAAGATTTATTAACTGAATTTACATATAAAATGGGACGGCGGATGTATTATTTTTATAAATTTTAATGATTGGGCGAAGAGAGTATTATTTTTTTAATTAACTTTAATGATGTTAAAATGCAATGGAAAGTCATAAGTTCAAATTTTAGTGGTGATATTAACTATTAACTCTTTGTAATTCATTAGATTAAGAAAGTATGAATACACTAAACAAAAAATGCAATGTAAGCATTTTCTATTATCAATTATTCCCTATTAATTTATTATGGGAGTGGGGGAGTGACAATCGGTGATGGGGTGATAATATTAGGGAATAAGGATCTATTAAGCTTTCTAAGTCAAGTTAATAGTATAATTAAGTCCCTTAAATGAAAAATGCTTCATTTAGACCTCTTAAATTAGGGAAAAAAAGTGAATCTGAATTTAAATCTTAATGTGATAAAGGGGTCTTGTTGGAGTTTGTTTGTTCTTTTATTTTTTTTTTTTCCTTAGAAAATAAATTTTAACCAATATCTCTACAGATTTGACATAAAAAGTGAAAGTGTGTATAGACAGATATTACATTATAATAGAATCTGAATGACTTATATTTTTTTAGAGTTAATTTCACAAGAGGTCACTTGCCTTTGATGACAATTCCAAATTTAGTCCTAGAGTCATTTAACATCTTAGACTATTATTTTTGGACATTTTTAATTTTTTTTCATGACTTTTTCTATTTTTAGTAAGAACATTTTTCTCTTTTCATATTTTTCTTTTGTTATTTTTTCGGTTTCAATTGGTTTAATTGGTTCAGAACTTAGGTAACCTCTGATTTTTAGTAACTATATTTTTCAATCGATTTTTTGTAAAGTCCTAAACCAATTAAACGGATTGAAACCAGAAAAAAAAAATGTGAAGAGACAAAAATACCCTTATTAAAAATATGAACAATCATTAAAAGAACTAAAAGTGTCCAAAAAATAAAAATCTAAAATGTTAAATGACAAAAATAATATTCTAAACTAAATATAAAATGGTCACCAAAGACAAAGAACATCTAGTGGAATTAACTCTATTTTTATGATTAATTTGTATTTGTGCCTTTATCTACCTTTTGCTTCGATTTAATGCGTTTACAGACCAAGTTAATGAACATACTTCAAGATAAATAAATAGTTTACAAAATATACCCAATACTTTTGAGGTTTGAATTTATAAACATACCGTACATAAATTGTATACTTAATTTAGATTAATAGGAATTTGATTTTCATTGGAGGTATAGTGTAATGCTTATCCACATTGAGCTCTAAGTTTATATACCTAAATAGCACAAATATAATTATGTATCTAATAATACACAATAATAGTTGAGTAAACAATTTGTACGGAATGAGGACTAATGTTTATGTACCTTGTACTATGAGATTATGTACCTAGAGAGCATAAATTGTGTACCTAATATAGAATGATAGTTGATTAATCAATTTGTATGAAAATGAAGACTAATGTTTATGTACCTTGAGTTTTGAGTTAGAGTTAACAAGCTTGGTTGGTATGAGTGGTTGTGTACTTTTGTCTCTTAAGAAAGGTCGGGAGTTTGAACCCCCTCTTGTATAGAAAATCAATCTGACTAACACGTACTTTTTTCCTTAATTGGGCCGGCCCGGTACGAACGGGCTTAAAGACCCCTCCTAGAGTTAGGGCCTGTTTAGGACACATACGGGCTTAAACAGTTAGGGCCTGCTCAGAACACCTCATGGTCTAATCCAAAATATACAAAATGATATATGAGTAAATGAGGACTAATGTTTAAGTACCTCACATTTAATGTTTATGTGATTATATATCATTAGTTTAGATTATTGGCGTGGTGATTGATGATTGTTTACCGTTTATGTCTTCTTTTAATTCTTGTCGTTTACTTTTAATGTCGAGACAGTTTAATTTAATTACACATGCTTTAGCATCTACTACCTCTTCATAGACTAATTCTTTTGCAGTAATATAATCTTGCTT